GTGTCATCACGAAATGTGCGTATAAACGCCACTTGGCGGGACGAATTATTAGGCTACAGCTTCTAGCAAGATGATCTGTATATGACTTTGAATATGTGTGACCCACTCAGCTGTACACTAATGAGGTCTTCACGACTGGTGGCGAAACGTCTGCAAGCAAGCTGCCAAGCTCGGTGAACAGGTCAGCAGCCACCTGACCTACAACCGATGCGTGCGCTCTGTTTTGCTTCTAACTCCGCTGTACCTAGTACCACCAAAAATATACCTCCAACGCTCAACTTTCCTCGTCGCTTGGAGTCACTTGGACAGTTTGACACTCTTAAATCATTCATTCTTACACTGCACTGGTTTTTCGATTGGAGTCCCAAGGGAACATTTGTTTTTCAAGTGTCCCGTTGTGAATTTCTCGGGCACTAACCTACCCTAGCCATACTTCTGAGGCATTAGTTGGCAAACATATTTCATTTCAGCTGCTCGCAGAGGCTATGTGCCAGAGACATACACGACCCCTGAGGCTCAGATGTCTCTGTAGGTATCCCTAATTCGCGACCGTGATCCTAGCGTTGGGGATTTGTGCACTTTTCGCATCCATCAAACCACGGTCTGATACATCTTCCAAGCAACAAAATGATTTGGCAGTTTTGAGTTTTTCACTTTGGTTGAGAAGTAACAAATCCAGCGATCGCATGTTCTTACAAGCCCGAACATCCGCAGGATGTCTGTGTGAGGTGTCAGAATAATTAATCACAAGTTTGAGGACTGCCGAAAGACAGGACAAATATTTTTTAATTTCTCACATATACCTTTGCTTGTTGTTTAGTACGTTTGATCTCAACTACCTGTAGCTGGTTCATGTGGTTAGGACGGGCAAAATAATTTACCTCTGCTCTAACAGTATGATTGCCTTAGAGGTTGGGATGCTCATTGTTTTATTACATGGTGTGAAGCGTGACGTGAAGCAACTGATCAGCCAACTCAGCGAATTTTCAAGGAGAACCGAATGTTCGTAAGCAGTGAAGTGGTTACTCCAAACTTCTTTTTCATCCCCTTGGAGTACTTGTGAGATTTTAGGAACCTTAAAGACGGAATGTGATTACTCTAAAAAAAACCAAATACCATGCGCTTATCACTGGTTCAGATCCATTAGACGCATGTAACAAAATAATCGATATGACGCCTAGGTAAACGGGCTCTACAAGTATGTTAGTGCCTCAAACTCGGTCATATTGTTTTAAACCAAAGATCCAGATGGATTTCAGCCGATATCACCGACTACACCAAGTTATATTACAAATGACTGTCCATCGCAACACACATATTACCTGATGAGCCCAAAAAGAAATGAGACAGGTGCTGGGCTGTACAAAGTGGTAGTGAACGCAATCGTTGTTATATCCCAAAGTTAGCGCGTGTAAGCCATGCAATGCCAACACTCCAGCTTCCCGTTTCACATTCCTGTGGAATGATACAAGCTGTTTTGTTTTGGATAGTGCCTCTTGCTTAACATTAGGGAAATCGTGTAACCGATTTTCCTGAAACTAACCTTTGATCAAAAGTATTTTTTTTCTCCTTGCTTATGTCCCTAAGAAATGCCATAATTTGTTTTTCTCCATAGACTTATAAGCAATCACTCTACCCTAACTTTTGTGCAAAATGCTTATTTGCCAAGCACATACACTACTTTAACCGCGAACAAGACAGACAGTATTTTTTTCGATCGGCACTGTGTGGCCTCCACGAATGTCATAGAAGTTTCATCGGCACTACATCTCGATGGTCGTAGCCAAGATTGTTCCCATGTAGTAAAGTTAACTTGATCAGCCGTAGACCCAACGGCCTGAAAACCTTACCAGCCAAACCCGAGTTGTCACATCTGATCGCCGTGTTCTACTGCCATTGGGTGGAAAGATCAGCGTCGGCGAAATGCAGATTGAAAGTTTGGATAGATTGGATGAGCCATTCGGATTCAAATAACTGGATCTACACTTGACATGGCTGCAGATTGGCCCCAATGAAAAGACGAAATCATTATTGATAAATCACGAGTTTGTTAAAAACTCTTCGACAGTCCACAACCGGTTTTGTCCATCTTGGGACTCATCAGGTAGGCGCAGTCCCTTGGTTTCTAGCAATCTAATGCTCTGTTTGAACCCAAACTGTACAACAATCGAGTGCACATGAGTGCATTTCGGAGGTAACTTCCAAGTTGTTCACTTGCCCGACTTCTGTTTGTTTGATCGACCAACGGCTACTCGTATTTCCATTATATTCAACCACTGGTGGATGAAATTTATCGAGGCAATCCGGTGAGCTATCTCGAAGATCCGTTGCCTAGTGAAATGTCTTATTCCTACCACTTTTTCGTGTTAGGTGCCGGAAGACTAGTTTTGGCAGTACATGTATAGAAATATTAGCTTTGAGTAATGGTAAGTTCGCGGTGTTTTTTCCTCTAGTTCAGATGGTGTACTCGGAACACATTTCGTGTTCAGCTGACTGGGTTCGGGCTAGGATTTGAGTCAGTAGTTTAACAGGCGGTTATACTGTTCACACCATCTAATAATCTGTCTCGTTTGTACAGCTATCCCTTTACGTCCATGAGTTATGTTTCATCTGGTTGGGACTGTTGGCTTACTTTTCCCTGGGGGTCCTAGTGTTAACGATTGAACTGGTTGCATCCTTCCAACCAGACAAAGACTAGAGTTTCCATCTACTTTGTGATATCATCAGGTTCAACTCCGTAATCCTATGAACCAGACATTTCTTCAAAATTGTTTCATTTCTGAGTTTGGCAGGCCTAAATGCAAAACTCCTGTCTAAAAAAGGTTGCTTACTGACAGTTTTCCCCTCTGGAGCGTTTCCTGTTGGAATTACTGAAATCCGTTATCTTCATGTGGATGTTCTATCCAGATATGACTAGGAAGTCCCACATGTTTAGATGTGCGATCGTCTTACAGGATCCGTCCATGGCGTTAAGGGTGTTAGTGCGAATTTTGCATTCATTTTTCGGTTCAGAATAGTGCTACATATACTTGCTGCATCCCTTCTCAAGAGCTTGCACCCTCGGGATCAAAGAAACTTCACTTGGGGACAGTAATTACGAACTTTAGTAAAAGTGCGTAAATTGCTCCAGGTAGGAGAATCAAACACACATGTTGTCACTGGTTCACTAAAAATTCGATAATAAATACAGCTGGATGGAAATACAATTTAGTATTTCTTAGTCTGAAAGCAGTCGAAAGCATTTTCGTATGAAACCAGTCGCTTGGTCCGTTATCGTTTATAGTGCTGGCTCATTCTCACTTTCTGGTTCTTCCGTGCAGCTGACTCCACAGAAATCTATCAGCGTCCGTCGTGGTAATACTCCCATTTATGCCCGCATCTGTTGGAAGAATACCAGGGAGTTCCTCATTGTTTTATCCGCGTAATCTTGTCCTTCTCCCGTAAGAGAGCATTTGTCTGTACTCTATTGTCTTGTGGAAAGCCACACATGGTGAGGCATTGGACTAGGACATCCTACCAAGAATGATTGGCTGAAGAAAATATGGCCATTACCTTGGTATAGTGAGAAAATATTATCGCTGGTTAGCGCTATCAAGGTAAATACACCCCCCGCGCTACTCATCGTGCATCTCAAAAGAGCTTTTTATAGACTAATTTCATGGACTGCATGATTTTGCCCTCCTGAGAGACAAGAGCTGTAGTTTGGTTTGCCTCAAACTGACTTGCAAAAGGAGCATAACCATCACTGTATGTAACAGCCCTTCTTCCGTGATTAACTATATCTGTGGTTAGCGATGAAGTCAATCTACAAAATCCCCCAATTCAACTGAAAGTGCTTGAAATACGTAAAAAAAAACGAGAATGCTCAGGCAAGCAACCCCGGAAGAGACTGACAATACAAACGCTAGTAGGTACCACACTTTACAATGTCTCCAGTCACGCACGAAGAGGGTGATGGAGATCTCATTCTGGAAAGTAGACCGCATCTCCAACACCCAGAATCCTCTTCTGTCCCTCATCTTACTCTACTAAGTCACTCGTTGCCCACCTCCTAGGTTGCGCAGTTTTGAAGGAGGTACCAAAGACATTTTTCCTAGTAGACGATTTTTAGGCGTGTTTAACACACGGCCAAACCAGCGCAGCTGGTGGTGGTAGAAGTTTTTCACAACTGAACTAACTGCTGCACATCCATGCTCCCCTCGCCTTACTAGCTCCTTGCGAGTTCATTGACGCCGTCCGACACCAGCATTGCGCCACTCCAGTATCGGTAGTTTCTTCTGGCACAACTACCTCCCTCCAGGGACGACAATTCTCTTAAGGATAGTTCACATTTTTCGTCAAACATCTTTTGTCCGGTAGCCTCCACACAGTTTCGACAAGTGTGCTAGAAATGGAACTGAGGCGTCATTCAAAACCTCGCCATTTTCGCAGCTGAGTGCATAAGGACTTATGCAAAAACGCCTCTGGAATTTGAATCAGCACCCTTTACTTGCTTGAGATTCTGTTCGCCTGCAGCAATTCACATTGCGTTTTCTAGTAATGTACATCCTGTGACTGGCACTTTACGGTAGTTTCTCAAACATAACTCAGATACTTCGACGTTCGTGCCCTCAGATGCGCAGCCTCCATCGCCGCACAACACGCTCGTCCTGGGCGCTGGGCCTGGCCAAGATCCCAGTCGGTTGTTATCGCTCCCAGCTGTTGTGTCGACTGCATCAATTTCTCGGTTGTGACGGTCACTGTCATAACGACCATGCTGTGGGTGTCGCGACGGCTGTACGATCGACACGCTAGGCTTGGTTGCTGGGCCGACCAAATAGCCCAAGCCGGCTTGCATCCAGTCTGCGATAGTGACTTCATTGCCATGGCTCCACTGTTTTCTGGCAAGCCTTGACATAATGGGCTTGTTGATGCTGGCCGGCCTTGAGTACGGACACGTGAAAATTGGCAAGCGAATCGCACTTCAGCAGATGCATTGATTGCGATCGCTAACGCGCCCATATCACAGGCGTACAGAGAGCGTATCGGTGTTTTCAAGACGAGATTTTCCAGATTAGTGGCATAGAGTCTGGGTCAGGCAAGCTGGATACTGGTCGTCCTCTGGACCGAACGCGATGTGGCCTTCGGCCTACGGAAAATGCACGTTGTCCACACTACAAGGCTACTGCTATTGCAAGTGCCTGCTTAGGTAAGTCACGAGTAGGTGGTGGGGACTAAGATTACAGGTATTCGAGTTCCTCCAACAGAGACATCAAAGTGCTTAGTTCACTGGACATGTTGCGAATGGTAAAATGAGAAGTCTCGTACCAAAGTACCACAAGTTGTATGCATCGCGGGCATCCCGTTTATGATCCCGCATCGTGATCTTGTATCAAAGAACATGGTTCATGGCTAGTCAGCAGCAGCAACCTTCCTTCACGTGGAATTTGTTCAGCATGTTTGATCATTGCTCTCTGTAAATGTAAGTACATTCAGCCTGAGGCAAACCCATCCAACAGGGAAATTATGTGCACACCAATTGAAATGGTGGAGCTATAGCCAATTTTCTGTGTTTTCTATTTTTCTTCGTTTCTCTTCGCTGATTCTGATGAATCGCCCTCTGAAGACATGTGAACAGTGTTGCTGAACTACCGCGAAGAATGTGGAAACTTTTGCACAAATCTATGGCTTTCTTTTTCGAATATGTTCTTACGGTTTCATATTTTCTATTTTCTCAAATATGGATTGATCTGTTGAGTTGAAAGGCAAATAGAGCATTTTGTTACTTTCAGGTATTCAGTCAAATGTAATGATAAGAGTAATAGGAGGGTTGATTTTCTACGGTCGTTTATCCTCGACTAATACAGACTCGATCACTGAGTTCAACGTTGACGGCCCATTTATGGTATTGATTGAAAGTGTGCATCGGATGTCGAACGCTCAAATGCACACTGAGTTCGGTTTACAGTTCATTCGACGATTTTAGGCATTATCTGGCTGGTTACATTAAGTGATTGTCTGATTGAACCTCTACTATTGTTTTGTTAATCCATACAAGATGAATTTTCAGATTGGTTCCCTTGGTGTGCGGGTCCTGCAAGTGCGGCAACTGATCGCCGGAAAGCAGCCTAGTATGCGAGTTTTCGTTGTGATGCTCAATGGCGGTTTGCTGATTGCGGTCATACCATTACGATGTAGCAACCAAAACTTTGAAAGCCAAATTTAATTACCAAAATCAATAGAAGTGACACTGGTAGTCTGTGAACCTTCAAGCAGTGATACCAGAAGAATCTAGGTATGTAGGACCACCTGCTAGTTTCACTGCTAGATTGAGTCAATCGGCCTTGAGTTCTCTCGATATTTCTTGAACATTGCCTGTTATATTTTTTAGCCTGTAAGCTGCCTCACTTTATCACTAATCTGTGTAAATGTTATTCCTCCGCTTATTCTGATGCTTTCGAATACTCTTGGCATCAATACATTTACTCAGCTGACTCCAGCGTGATGACATCCTGTCAAACTAATTTCTGCGCATCGCCCCTGCAGCGATGTCCATTTCGAGACAGACTGGGGGTTAATCTGTGAAGTCAGATAATTACGCTACTTGTGAGCACATTTGACTGCGCGGGACTATCGAATGGCTCAATGACCGAGTTTAACTTTTGAGGGGGGGCTTCCACACACCCAGAGTTGATTTGTGGCATTGAGAAGTGCTAAGAAACATGGGTGCGATATTGTCTGATAAGTGGTGCCCACTGGAGATGTCACGGAATATAGGTAGTTGAGGTAAGCTGGGTGGACTGCAATCCAACTTCCGAGCTCGGCGAACAGACCAACAACCTAACTGGTGACTATATCTTATTTTACAACGTGCTTGCTGCAAGTTTAAGTTGGCACCGGAACAAGGACAGCTCTTATCAGCCCAATGCAACTGAGTGCGGTCAACTCGGATGACAACACGTTTTATCGATGAACTAGTGGCATAGCAGTGGCAGTAGCAAGTGCTGCACATTATTCCATCGTGGACTTCGAGTTCTTGAACAGTGCGTCAGACGAAATTCATCCGTGTTGAAGTGTTTCTGGTAGGATCGGTTTGAACTGGCCCGTGCACGAAACTTTACGGCAAAAGCTTACGAGGTTTTCTTCCATTTCTACGAAATTGTCACCAGGACGATAGTAAAGCATACGTTTAGCAGAAGGAATCACAGAATTTCAAAATAGCCAGTTGTTTCTGCATCAAACCGGTAACTGGTTTTACGTACAGCACCAGGCTGTGAATATGCCTATTCCATCCAACCACTATTGTACATCGATCAACCTTCGCCGTTGATTGCGCACTTTTTTCGTAACTTCTTTAGTGGATACATTTACCGCAACTGTTATCTAAACCTACGATGCGACCTGCGCGACCAACATGCCAAACAGCAAACTGTGCAAAGCAAAGGATAGAACAGTTGTAATCACTTCTATTTGTGATTGCAGTCGCAGTGGTATTTGTAATTATGAGGTTACTTTGAAAATGCCTAAACCAAGCTGGCTGTGGGTTTCTCTCATTTTCTTATCACCACCATGCCGAGTATAGTGTGAAAAATCAGAAGGAATGAACTATTATCTGAACGAATTTCGGTCAGGCCTGACTATCCCTAACCATTATAGCAAATTTGTAAGCCAATCAATTCTGCTATGCCTGTGCTATTTCGGTACTTTCGAATTATCTAGCCAACTAGATACTTACTGCAAGACGTCATCGAGTTGAATTCGTAAACAAGTTGCGATTGCAATTGATTGTAGATAGCTGCATTAATCTTACTTTCATGCATCTACAATGAACAGTCAGGTTCAGTGCATGCGTTTAAAACCATAAAGTACCGTTTATTCTAATTGTATGTTTTCGAGCATATAAGTATGAAAATACTGCCTGTGGCAAGCCGTACTCAAATCCTCATGTTGTTTTCCGTATCGCCAGGCACAGCCATTATCACTGTAAATACGCTGATTGTGGGGACACAAGCCGTCTCTTGTCGAGGCTTTGCCATCCAACTGGATCAAATCGGCTGTGCCGTCCATCCTGAAGAAGGAAACCGACAGGGCGAATGGCCCGTGTCGAAATGGACCTGAACCTGATGATAAAAATGTCACTCATCGATGGACAAGTACCGAGCATAAATCGGTCGAATGGTTACCGGCCAATATAGTCATTAATACATCCGGTTGCCCACAGACTATCGAAACTACGACACTCAAGAGAATGTTGACTCACAGTATAGTGTAAATAAGAAATAGGTATTCAGAAAATTCAGTCTAGCATTAGGGTCTTCGTTGAAAATATGGTAATACCTCCACCCACATCATCCACTAACTTCAAAGTTAAATCGCGATACACGGTTTTCATTGTGATAGTTGGAGATACACACACATTACTGACATGCGCAGATTGCGCGGACGGATGAACTTCCTGCTGACAGCATGGTGAAGTGTACAGTGGGGTTAAATCGGAACCACTGTGAATTCACAAAACTTCGATTCTTCTAACAAATTTGTGTTTTAAACAACATAAATACAAAATGGCGAAATACACTCATTTGCAGACTAATTTGGTTTCGCGACACACTCACCTGGAACCCAGTTGAATCCCTCGTTTGTGATGTTTCCAGGTGGAATTTCAGCAACCTTATGGGTAGTGCATTACGAATAAACATAAGTACAGCTTATCAGGATAGTAGATACTCTTTGTCCCCCTGCATCTTATTTATGGGTGCCCAAATGGCTGGTTCATTCCCCAGTAGGAAAAGCTACAAGTGAGATGTCCTGTGCCATTGACGCATTGACTGTCACCTCGAAAGCTGTTCCTAAGGTTACCGCTGACACTCACCTCATGTAGGTGAGCCCTTATTGAGTGGATAAGAATTAGTCAGACCGACGATTTGACCTAGATGCAAAGGTATACACCCATACCACAGTTCTACCGCAGGTTTCAGATTAAAGTTGGAACACAGGATGAGGTGAACATTTGGTAACTATTGAATGGGAACAAAGATGGGCTGACGAACACTTTTCGCCAAGTTATACAACTGCAAAGGTTATTACAGCAGTACATAACGCAATTCAATGAGATGGTATACATGAAAAAGTAGGCCGAGTAAGAGACTTCATGGGCTACCTCTCAAGGAGCAACTAGTTCAAATCATCACGAGGATAACCTGAATTTGTCAGTGCAGGTAGTGCTATGGTTTGTGCTCGACAAAGTACTAAATGCATTGCGCAAAGGTCACTTCATTTTTCAGCTAGCACGATACTCGAGATACCACAGGATATTTTCACGATAGAACACACTAATCCACTCGGATGAGCCCCATGAAGGACGAAACCTGTTGTGGGCTGTCAAACAGTTTTCGGCAACAGTATGAGTAGCGTACTGCGATATCTCGGATATTATACAGACTAGGACATGAGGCAGCCTTTGTACAGTACGCTTATTTCAAGAATGCCATAAAAACGTGAGATTCAGCTGGGATTCAGTTGATTCTCCCGTTGAAACCAAATAAGTTTGCAAATGGCTGTGTGCGGCAAACAAAAGTGCAAACAAAAGTGATGTGACTGAATTCTGTACATCCCACAATCGCCTACAATGTGTAAAAAGCACGGTGCAACAAGGCATTTTTAGAATCTTGTATAGCTATTTTAATCGCCTCAGTTGATATCAGTTGAGATAGATGATTAATTACCCATTCATATAAGCAGTTTAAAATAACCGACTGAATATGAGGTCTTATTATCCTATGTGGAATGAATGCGATGCAGTAGATCCTACTAACTCCTTTATTGAAAAGATGCTCCTAGTGTAGGACAGTTCTGCCATGCAAGGAAGTGTTTCCACGAGATGGAAGCCCTTTATTGGAATACAAACCCTGACTCTCTACCACTGGCACTACCTGTAATTGAGTATTATACGGGAATTTAACGAAATGACAATTCGGAAAATATGTTCCGTTTCCATTTTTAAGAATAATTGAGTCTTCTTTGTCAAAGATCTCAATGAGAAACAGCATTTAGTTTAAGCAGTCAACAGGTGTGAGTGATCCTGTTCGAATTCAGTGCCCACTGTAAGTGCGGTTCGGGTTCTGTGATGTGGAATTTGACCTCTTTTCTGCCGAGAGATCCTCGATGAACTACAGCCGACCAAATGGAGCCATGTATATCGTGCAACAA